CTCTCACTCTCACTCTCTCTCTCCCTCCCTCCCTCCCTCCCTCTCCCTCTCCCCTCCCTCCTCTCTCCCTCTCTTTCTCTCTCTGTGAGAGATTATATACATCGGGCAGTAAATAATGTGTGTGTGTGTGTAATAAAACGTATACAAACTAAATTCAGAGAAGGGAAAATAAAAAGAGAATAAAAGTACAAAAAAGAAAAACAATGTGAAATAAAGAAAAAGAATAGAAATATGCAAATATGCAGTCTTCATCTCAACAAGTATAAACAGGTTTGGCAGCTCATCACCCCCTATAAGGTTACAGATATTTTTTCTTCCTATAACTCATCTCTTATCTATAAACAAATACATAAGACATCAACTCTTCAATCCTGGTGTCAGCAAAGTCTCTAAAGAGTTTTTTTAATCTTGATCAAATAAACCAACCTTATATTCCTTCATTAACAGCCTTTAAACATAGTCTATCCATAGAAGCAGATGTTAGCCCTACTATTACTGAAATGACTACTAATGTCTGAGCCCATTCTGCAAAGATCTCTTTTAGTATTTCGAATGTAATAGTGTTTTATTTCATTTTGGTCCAAATCCTTATCATAAGCAAAAAGAGTTTCTTTTTCTTTTTGCCTGGAATCTTTAGTTCCCTTCAGTATCCAATTTAATTAATAAGGTGCCTACTCTTTGTTATGACTTAAAGTAAACAGAATCATGTTGGTTTCCCCTTCCCTGTCAAAGAAGCTGCTTATTACATATTAAATAGTTATGTCAGGAAATTCTGGGAATTGAAGTCCACATATCTTAAATCTGCCAAGGATGAGAAATACTGAATTGGAGCAATTAATACACCACATAAAGATACTTCAGCTGTTTTTTTCCCCTCTCTCTTTCTTCTCTTCTCTGTTGTAACTTCAAATGGTCACCAAATAAATGGTTGTAAGTCAAGGATATTTAAAGTTTTGTGGATGAAACCACAATTGGTCATTTCATACTTGATTTACAGTGGTTGTAAATCTTTGTTGAGGTTGATTTACAGTGTTAAATAAAAAACAATGGTTAATATAATTTGTAAATGCATTTACAAATTGTGTTACAAGTTATTTGGAATAGAAAAAATGTTTATGAATGAATGTAGGAATACTGTGATACTTTCAGGTTTAGAAAATGTTCGTGCATTTCAAATGTCACTTTGCTACCTCCTTCCTTTTCAGATGTTTTTTAAAGAGTCAAACTAATTAATGAAAACCTATCAGTTGATGTCAGACATAAGTAATAAGGTAGAACCGTTATGCTGGCAGACAGTAGGTAACAGCTGTTTATGCCCTATTTGTGAATATAATAGAAATATTAAAATGATTATTGTTGGAAATAGGAAACCTTTAACAACATAGGATTTTAATCTATTTCATTTTTGTTTATATAACTTCTTTCTAATCTGAACCTTACATGGACATCTTATAAAGATGTTGTTGCTATTACATTGTATAAATTTCAATCAACTTGGTCAGTGGTCAAAAAGAATGAAGCTTATGGTTCAATTTTATGAGGCCAAGCTTGGGAGATTTTATTTATTTTCTTATGCTAAGTGCAGAACAGTTGGAATGACTGCCAAATATTCTTTCCAGAAAACTTTATGCTAATGGAAGAAAAAAGATAATATCAAACAGACAAGACAGCTTCGTTTTTGGTTGCTTAATGTCTACATGTCACAATTCAAATTCATGAATAAAGGAAATTTTCCATAATGCAGTTTTGTGCAACTTTAGCATTATACTTCTCACTTTTGTGGAAAATGAAGCTGTTGGCCTGGAACAGATATCCAAAGAGCAGTTGCCACCAAATCCCCTTTTACGTAGTTGTCATAATTCTCTGTTGGGAAATCCCAGAAGTATTTAGTCACAGTAGCAGCATAATAGTGTGAAATGTCCATTTTTCTACTTTCCTCATTTTAGTGCCAACTTGAAAATGCTACCAAGGCACCATGAAAAAAAAAGAAACACCTTTAATTATTTCATCTGTTCCATTTGGTAATTAGCAAATTCCAGAATGTTAGTTGGTGTTAATTGGCAATGTTACACTGAAAAAAACAAGCTTTTACCATACTAATGAAATATTTTCTTCTGGCTTCTGAAGGAGAGAAAGAAAATGTCTTTCTGTATATTTCTTATTCTAAGTCCATAACTAAACATTTAAAAACCTGTGTTGGCATCTTGGGTTTGTTAAATCGAAGTAATAATGGGATGATATGATTTTCATTTGGTGAAATTTAACATTATCTATCTTCAGAATAGTAGGTTGATACAAGAAAACATAGGCATTTATTCTTTAATAGAAAATAAAGGGAATTTGTATTATATAGTGCATTTTAAGGTAACTTCTAGTGTTTGAAAAAAGGTATCAGTTGATTAACTCTAACTTGGAAAAGAGCACTAAACTGGGATGTTTTGGTTACTATATATCAGGATTGCCTTTATATTGTGAATGGATTTGGGAACTGTACATGCAAACCGGGCAGAAATATTTGGGAGTGAGTCTCAGCAAAAGGGTGGGATTCAAATTTCAGTGGTGGGATTCAAATTTTTTTACTATCGGTTCTGTGGGCATGGCGTGGCGGGCGTGGCAGGGAAAGGATACTGTAAAATCTCCAGTCAGAGGTGGTATTTGCCGGTTCTCCAAACTACTCCAAATTTCCACTACCAGTTCTCCAGAACTGGTCAGAACCTGCTAAATATCACCTCTGGAGCACTTGGTCAACTTAGGCTCAAAGGTTATTTATGAACCTGACTAGTATTTAGATAGGAGACCATTTGGGGAAATTAGGACTTTAGACTAGGCTGGATATTAAAATAACATTTCCAAAGAAGACAGTGGCAAATTCAAATTGTTGCAAAGAAAAAACTGTGGATTAAACAAAAATGAATGAAATAAACAAAAATGAAATAATCAGAGGTGAAAATCAGTTTGAAAGAGATTTTGCTTTCCAAACACCCACAATGTTTTAACCATTGACTGTGTGTGTGTGTGTGTGTGTTTGCATGTGGGGGAGGTTGCCTTTGGGGCACTCTTATTTCCTGACAACTATCTGGACAAGTATGTTATTGCCTCCTCCCCAGAGCTGAGACAGAATGACTGGCCCATGGTTACCCAGCTTGAGTGGGACTGTAATTCTTCATCTCCCAGTGTCTAGCCTGATGCCTTCAGGAGTACACCAAACTGGTTGTCTTACAAAAATATATTGCATAAATATGCTTACAATTGTGTGAAATCCTTTTAACTTTATTGTTTTACTGAATATAATACTATCTCATTTTCCTGTCTTATAATAAGGCTTGATTTATGAAGAAGGCTAACATATTCACACATTCACAATTTATGCTAATATAACATTATGTCTCACCCTAAGTCAGTAAATACTGTAGGTTAGTTGAAAATAAATCCTTTGTAGATTAATTGGAAAACCAACTAAAATCAAAAATCATAATAAATATTGATTAAATGTTTGTAATCCCCATGCAGTATATGAAAACAGGAGCCTTATACTTCAGGCAGAGATCATCTGCAGATCATACATCTGTGGGGAAAACACTAGGGATAAAATGTTCAGGATGAATGAATAGGGGAAAATATTATTCTACAGTTCAAGATGTGCAGATAGCTTGTTGATTATAAGTTAACATCTGAATTACCTGCATTTGGCAGAGATGAAGCTAAGTGATAAATCCTGTGCAGTTAACTGAGACCTATTGGAATTTTTTGTATGGCTTAGAGTAGTGGTTGCCAACCAGTGGGCTGGGGACCACTGGTGGTCCACAAGAAAATTTTGGTGGTCCGCAGAGAAATGTCACCCCCAAAGCACACCCCAAAGCAATGGCCACCAGGCTGCTTCTTTCCACTTCTTTCTTCTTCTGCTTCTGGCTGCACGCAAGGAAAGCAGCAAAAATCTTTCTTTCTCTCCCCCAACTCTGCCAGAAATGAGTCTTTGGGCCCTGCAAGGCATCCTGTTCCAAGAGGTTACACCAGCATGACAAGTCTCACAAAGACTTATTTCTGGTGGAGTTTGGGGGAGAGAAAGAAAGACTTCTGCTGCTTCTGCTGCTTTCCTTGCATGAAGCCAAAAGTCAATCAGTCAGTCTCTCTCTCTCTCTCTCTCTCTCTCTCTCGCTCTTTCTCCCTCCCTCCCTCCCTCCTTCCCTGAGAATGGAGCTGGAGGTGGTATCCTGCAATCCCAAATAAAGAATGATCAATCGGTAGGAAAATGGGGTGGGGAATTTTCCTACAAATCTTTTTTGGGATTTTCCCAGGGTCTTTGATCTGTGGGATTTAAAATTATGAGTTTGGTGGTCCCTGAGGTCCAAAAGGTTGGCGACCCCTGTCTTAGAGTATAGTATAACATTAGTACAAGTCTCTCTTTCTTCCTCATTCAAATGTCTTCAATATCTTAGTTTTGATGCTGTATAAAGACATTGACAGAATCCTTGTACATTAAACACAATTAATTTATTTTTCACTTAATATTGATGGGACAAGATGGGACGAGAATATGGCCAACAGCCCTGTGTGCTATCAGTATCAGCAAACTAGATTCTCTGAGCCATTCTGTTTATTTAACGATTGCTAAAATAATTGTTCATACTCTCTATTACATCTAATTATTATGGCATTTAAATTAACTGCCATTTTCATGTTCCAAACCCTTAACACTGTCAGATAAGCTCTTTAGTTATGGAGATAGATTTGAATCAGCCAAAACTTTTTCATTTGTGTTAACTAGTTTACCTAGAACCTGGTTAGAGCCATAGTTCCCTAGCAGAACAGGGTTTTCCACATAATTTTTTTTAGCTTCAGTTTCCATGTATGAGATCTTGCCTTAAACATGCTACATGCTTTTTAGACTATTTAAAGCCAAATCATACAATAGAATCAGATTTTGATTGTTGTGGAATCAGTCTGGGAGCTAAAGGGGTATAATGTAGATAATTCTGTTGGCTTCTTTTTATTCTTTCAGGTATTCCAAATTGCTTATGTCATTGTAAAAGCAGCTAATTCACCACGGCCTGGAAACTGGATTTTGGAGCGTTCATTAGATGGTAACAATTATGAACCCTGGCAGTACTATGCTATCACAGATACAGAATGTCTGACTCGTTACAACATCACCCCTCGCACTGGGCCTCCTTCTTATGCAAAAGATGATGAAGTTATATGCACTTCGTATTATTCCAAAATCCATCCTCTAGAAAATGGAGAGGTAAGATGAGAAATATCACTGCTCTTACTAAAGTAGCAATCAGCTGCCCTGTTGAATATGTATATGACCTCATCAATTCATGTATATGCATAAAGTTCATCAGATAAAACATTTTTGAATGTTCGTATAATATGCCTTACGGGATTTGAAAGGAAAATGTTTTATCTAGTTCCACCCCCACAATACTTGGGAAATGTTTTGAATAACACAGAATTATGAAGAGACACACCTAGATATGTTTAAGAACAGAGAAACTAAGGATCCTTTTGTGACTCTCCAGTATCCTACAGAGATGGTCTCCAAGACTAGCTGCTTCATAGACATCTTTAAAGTTGAGTTTAGATCAAAAGAAAGGGTATTTGTGCAGTGAATAAAGCTGTTTAAATTCAGAAATACATTTCCGTCGAGTTCCCCCAATGTGAAATGTAAAGACAAATTTAAATGTTTCTACTGTATAAAGATATAGAGCATGGGTGTCAAACTTGCGGCATCACATTGCCGTCACGTGACATTTCACAACATTTTTTCCCATCGTAGAGCTGGGGTGGGTGTGGCCTGTATGTGACACATCTGGTCCACGGGCCACCAGTTTGACACCGCTGACTATAGAGAGTATAGAAGACGACCTTGATGAAAATATGCAGGAGCCATTATCTAGGCAAAATGGGATGAAATTGTTTTTTTAAGCCCAGAACCAAGAACTGATATTTGGGGAGCACCTCAAGCAGACATCTGTTTAATTCACCGTACTATAAGAACTAAGAGGAAGCACAGCACAGTCAAATTGGCATGATTCTACCATTATAGCCAATTTCAATAAAAGTAGTTTTAGCCTTCCTATGGGTCTGATATTAGTGAAATGTCTGCAGAGTTTCAGGTTTAAAAAGAAGTGTGTGGGTGATAGCGGATTGATGATGGAGGGATAGAAAGGTAGATTACTGCTCTACATTTGCATTTTAGCCAATCATTGTCATCTAGCTTAATAGTAAAGAAATAGTTTCTTAATATTTTTGAAAGGAAAATTGATGTTATTCTAATGGTGGCACATGAGTTACTTGCTTTTTCCACCATCTTGCAACATTAAGATTTACTCAAAAAATAGCACAGAAAAATGTGGAAAAAAATATCTAAAATCAGATAAGAAAAACAAAATGAATCAGAAAAGGTTTTACTGCATATGAAATGATTACATTACATTTTTAATTCAATGTTACAGGGATCTTAATTTGGCACTAGTTATATTTAGATTGGTAGCATTTCTGACGTTTGTATGTCAGTATGCGTACTTCGAAGTTCGGAGATAACAGAATAGATGGAACATGCACTAATTCTGAATTGTATCTAGAGAGAAAACCACCTTTGACCTATGCTGAAACTTTTTAAAAAGAAGAATTTAAAATAAAATATGTTCACTCAATAATATTTCAGAAAATCTTTAAAAATACTATTATTGAAATAATATTACAGAAAATCTTTAAAAATACTATTATTATTACTCTATTTAATACAAATGTTAAATACACTCACCAAAGATCATATTTAGGGTCTTATAAAAATAATAATTCTGTTAACAGTATAGCTCTGCTGGTTGATTATTCATTTCTTTTTATTAGTCATTATTTTTCCAAATTTTCCTTAATTTTCAGCAGTTTTTCATAATCTATATAAAAGCGAAATACCACTCATGCATCATCACAAAATCTCCAGAACCCTAAAGCTTACAAACTTGAAATTTGGCACATATGTTCCTCTTGACTTCTAGGTGTTTACAAAGAAAGGATTTTTTCAAAATGACCATCAAAGCATTAATATTTTGTATATTATTATTAACACGTTTTGATGCTAAGGAGTTCTACTCCCCCTCCCCACCTGAAAAGAAATCTGTTCCAAATGTAAAACCAAGCAGAGGAGAGGAGTTTCAGTTTCATTTTTAGTTGCCCAGCACCAAGAAGCTTTAGTACAGAACAGTTGAGCTAAGCTCCTTGCTGTCTCCTTCTTGCTCACACAGCAAATACTGTTTCAGTTTCCAGACAGTCCTCAACTCTCAAACACACTGACAGGATGCTACCGTATTTCTCATATAATAAGGCCGGGTCTTATTTTTTTTTGAGCCCCGAAAAAATGGCTAGGCGGTCTTTTCGGGGGTGACTTAATTCTCCCCCCCAGCATGTTTGGGCGGGCGGGCGGCGACGGCTTGGATGTTGACCTCGGCGTTGGTGGGGCACTTCGTATCAGGGTCAACGCAGGAAGCACCATATCCGGGTGTGCAACAAAAGTACTTCCTAACGGCAAGCCCCCCCCATCCCCCCCCCATTTTGCATGTTTTAATATAGGCCTTAATTTGGGGGGAGGGGCTTAATTTCATTTCATGCTGGGACTTCCTATTGGGGGAGGCTGTATTGTTGGAGAAACAGGGTAGGCGGATGAATACCGATGGATGCTGGTAGGCACAGGCACATTTCCCACCCCTTTATTTTTCTCCCCAAAAACTAAGCCCGACCACATAGTTTCGTAGTGAAGCGTGGTTATTGAGCTACAATACCTATAGATCTTCATTCAGTGCTTATTCTAGATTTCTTCACAATTACTTGTGAGTTCATGTATTCCCTGCATCAACATAATAATATGCCTACAAAATTTTAGTTCTCCCAAACAAATATTTCAATATGTAATGCAATCTAAAACATTAGAAATGTTGTAGATGCATGAATTAGTTGTTTTGATTTTTTTTAATGCTGTTAACTCTGATTCATTTGGTCAGAGTAATGAGACATAGCAATACAGTTTAAAACTGTGAATTACAACTGTGAAGTTTGTCATCGTACATCATTCAAATTTATTTGTTATTCTCCTTTGAATGTTATGCTTTGCCAAATGTATTCCTTCCCTTTCTTTACTTTAAAGAGCAGTGTGTTCTTTCTTGCTATCTCAAGTTGTTGGCATGCACTCTGATATTAGGCATTTCAGTTTAAATTCCCAAGCTTAAATATCTATTACAGTTGTTGTGAGTATTAGGAATCTGTTGATATTTTGCTCTACATGGTGGAGACATGGTATTTTGTTCAAAGTGACAATTTTCCGATTTCTCTTCACCTCAGCCCCCTTTATGAGTTTTTAAGTGTTCATGACAGTGGACAATCTAGCTGATTTTGCCACCTGTCTGGAGATATTCTTTGACTGGGTACTGTTATACTCACAAGCAATCCATTAACCTTTGACAATGATGAGGAAAAGGTGGCTATTAGTGTAGAGATAGCAATTTTCTTGCTTCTGCTGAGATCCATGAAACAACATGTTCCAGGCCTTATATAAAGTTGTGTTGGTGCTGAGGGCACAACAGTGAATTGTTCTTCATTTTGACCTCATAATAATCTATGAATGGCTTTTCCCCTTTCAGTTATTCTGCTGATATCGGAGATTCTCCCTCAATGCTATGTTATTTCATTTATTAGTTATGTCCTATTAATATAGCAAAGTTTTTAAACAAAAATAATCTGTTACCTTTTTTTTCTTCCTGAAAAAAATATCAGTGATTAATAGGAAAGAAAGAAAGAAAGAAAGAAAGAAAGAAAGAAAGAAAGAAAGAA